CGTAAAGGCCATGAAAAGTTTTGTATAAAATGTGTATAAACGTTGACATGGCAGTTTTGTGTATAACGTGGTCCGTGTTAATTTAAACTCCGCCCGTGCGTTATAACGAAAATCTATTACACCAAATTCCCGACATAAACACAAACCATAAAAACAGTAGAACGTAAAGGATGCGAGATAAAAACAAAAGCACCGTCTCTATTACGCTCCGTCGTAATATCCGCCCATCTTGGGCGGTCCGAAGCGGCTGTGGAATGGGGAATGAACCCCTCGGGGAAATGTTCCTCCCGAAACGTTCCGACACGAAGCAGGTGAGTATTTCAAATGCTCACGGCGTCTTTAACTCTCGAGCCCCGCCCGAGCTTAGCGGTAACTGATTTACGGCGGCACTGTCTCTGTTGCGTCTTCCGTTTAATTTAACAGCGCTTAAAACTCCAACGGAACTTCTTTTATTTGTCCAATCTTTATCTACCATATTTCTGCAAATAAAGATGATTATGATTATGAATGTTTGTTTCTTTTTAACCGACTTCAGAAAGGAGGAGGTGATCAATTCGGATGTTTGTTGGGTTTTTTTGTTTCACAGTTTTACCTGGACGAGGTACATAATTAATAGCTAAATAGGTTAAAAGTAATATTTATTTTTTGGATAACCTCAATATTCATTGTTGTTTAGCTTCTTTATATTTTTAGCAAGGTATTATGGTGTACAACTATTATCCGTGGTGAACAATGGCACCGACTCCACAAGTGTTAAATTTTGTTAGAGGTTAGGTTAACCTATATAAGGTTAGATTTAGTATTATTTATTAGTAAAAATTTAAGTGCTAACAGTTTTTAGAAGTCGGTTATTTTTTTCGATAAAAAACTTTTTATCATATGAAAATTTAGTAATCGAATATGAACTTTTACTAAGAATAATTTCACTGCTAAATTATCTTTAACTATCTCTTCAACTCTATACATTCAAACAGTTTGTTTTTGACGAGCTTATGTATGCACAAGAATGTTGACTGCGAAATCAGTGCAATAACCTTTTCTCCACATCATAACAAAAGAGAAAGTCATCAGAAACAACCCATTTACACTCAAACCGGTGACCCCTTGCAATTCTATGAACACTAAGAAAATGTATGGTGATTGAGACATTTGAGATCAGTTTTGTTTCTTGTTAATAAAATGATATGATTTGAGCTAATAATATGATAGTGATGTATTTAAAAATTGTGCGCATTCAAAGCGAGACTACTTTCCAGCACGAGATGAATTATCCTTAACGATTCTCCAGACGGTTTTACCTGCGCAATTCCGTTTTGTACAACTTCGTGGCCGAGTTCAAATTGAGAGTTTAGTACCCAAAGACACCTATTACTAAGACTCCGCTCTCTGACTGTCCGTCTTTCATCAGGCTGTATCTCATGAACCGTGATAGTTAGTTAAAATTGTCACAGATGATGTTTTCCCGTTTCCGCTATAACAACGAATACTAAAAGAAACAGAATTAAAACAAATATTTAAGTCGGTACAAGAGAGATGAATTTTTGCCGTTTTAATAGATAATGGTACGGAACCCGTCGTGCGCGAGTCCGACTCGCACTTGACCGGTTTTTTGCACAGCCAACTCCACTAGATTAGTCCGAAGTTAATGCGTCACGGAGAAGTAGCATCTGCCCCTGGGAGGAATTCACCTAGGACCAGGTCGCTCTTTCAATTTGTTAACGTCAACGATTTCAAAATGCTAAAACTCGCGCAGAAGTTTCGACATAAATTTGTCCGGGAACGTGGAATGCTAAAGAGTTGCGAGAACTTTTATTTTACTTCTCACTTTGAAAATTCCCTCCTCGGAAAGTGTTTAAAAGCAACCGATTTTTGATGTCTCATTCTTGAAACGATCTTCAACAGTTGGTAAATATTTGCGTTTGAAAATTTATAAAGATAAATTTTTTTAAGTCGTTTAAAAATACATTATTGATCATCCTACCATGACCTTATCCCACCTAGGTAGAGTAGGTACGTACATATTACTTTGTAAATGGTTTTGGCTAGGCTTTTTACGATTGCCTGACGTCAAAGCTCCTTAAGAAAAAACACCCAAATGCGGAACAGTAATTATCTTTGGGTCATACAAATACTTGTCCCGTGTTGGAATCGATCCCACAACACCCGGCTTCGAAGCCAATAGCTTAGCAACTGCGCCACCGAGTCAACAATACATAAATAATACAAATTTAAAATCATAAATGCATCATCTCTTTATGTTCAGATTTTATCAACGTTATTAGTTAAAAATTATATGAGTAAAATTATAAAAGAAGTCTAAAATACAACATTAAATTCCCCAGGTCCCAGCTAAAATTCGGAAGAAAATTTTCCTCGCATTCGCTTATGTAATCTGTGTATAAACGTGTAACGTAATTTTATAACGGTTTATTTTACAGTGACTTGAATATCATTTGATGGAATCAAAATCCCATGCACCCTGAAATCAGCTCGCAACATGTTAATTTGTCTCAACCCACATCTTTTTATGTATTTAATTGACCATTAAGGAAACCATTGATTACTTAATAAAAGCTAAAGGAACGTTTCACCATCGATTTAGTGCGTGTGGTCCGCTCAATGGCGTCGTTTTACTCGCCATAAAGGGACGGCTATAAATGAAGCCGGTTCACCTTGCTAGCCATGTAGGGCGGTCTCCATTTGGACGTCTGTGGCATGCGTGTCCTGCGAAAAATTCCATATTTGCACTCTGTCTTAGTGAGGTACGCGTAAGCATTTTAGTTTTAGCAAAATACTAAAAAAACTTCATTGTATTACTGGACGAGAGAGAGAAAGAGTTGTAGAGAGTACACATATAAATGCCTGATTAATTGTGTATTACCGCCTGTTGAAAATAAATAGCAATCGTCATTTAATATTTTCTGCTCTGGACAAAATGTTACTAGCTGGTTCTAAATCCACCGGATTATCTTTTACTCAACCAGCTATCTTGGGAATGACTTTGTATTCTGGCAAAGTTACGGACCATTTGTCGACAGTAAAATGTTACACAATCACAAACAGACCTTTAGATATAAATATCAAATTAACACGCTTCTGTTATTTGCGTTGCATCATAAAATGTGTTCAAAGTTTGATTTTATCGTCGAAGCTCATCTCTGGACTGGAGTCGCCTTCACCTACATAAAATGCCCCCGATTTGCGGGAATCCGTGTCGGTCGTAAGTAACCGCCTCGGGTCAACCGGTCGCCAGTTTTACGATGCAGCCAAAGCACTATGACATATTGTTAGTGATGATCCATGTTCGACGACAAAGTATTCGAGGTTATCTCTTGAAATTTTCCCCGTTTCCCCTTTGCTTTGTAATGGCTGTCCGACATGTCTTACACGTATACCGATAAAGGGTAATTTTACATGGATATGTACACTAATTGACGAATAGAGAGCCTACTCTTACCTTTAAAGTCGTGATCGCTTATCATCGGGTGACCCGCTTGCCCTCCTTTTTCCTTAAAAAAATAACAAGACGCTATCGGCTTATGATTTCATTGTGGTAGGGCCACGCAGCTTCTTATTTTGCAGTCTTCTCGTCCGGTAACAAGTACCACGGCCCCATTGAAGCCCCAAATCAGCGTGAAGTTGAAGTATTCTGCCGCGTTTCCTCTGGCGACTGAGGTAACCGGAGTCCACTATTTTAAGGGTTGGCATAGCCTTTGCAACCCGTCAGATTTTGGAGATGTCCATGAGCAGCGGTAATCACTTAACATCAGGTGAACTACCTGCTCGCTTGCCAACTTTTCACAAAAAACATCTACTCGATTTTTAAAACCTTTCGTCCTTCTTTCTACAAAATTTAATAAAGATTACCACTAAAATTTTTAAATATATTTCGAGTTCTTAAAATTTGAATGTTTGAATTTAAATGTTTACTTAAACATGAATGGAGTATTGATATTATAATACTGCCTTCAGGCCAATGACGTGTGAAGGTATCACGTAGTTGTTATGTGCTACTGTGACCGACGATAAATGCTCCATAGTCGTCTATCCATCATTATGTATAGACTAGACTGTAGGGCAAACAGAGGCAGCCCGCGCCGAGTGTTGGCGTAACGACGGGCCATTACGGTTTAAGTCGTGTGACGTCACCCGGCGCGCCTCGCGACCAACCATAGTTCGCATTGCGGCAAACGGATGCGGCCGTACCCAAATGTTACCTTTTGACGCGACTGCTGACTCGCCTAACTCTAGTTTTACGACGTACCCACGGAAACTGGCTCAGCTTTACTTGAATAGTCCCCGAAGGTTAGGACGCTATGAAATTCTATATGCGGTCCAAGAGTTAAGAAGGATCGGGCCGCATACGAGATTGAACTGTGACGCCTTTTGTTTTAAAACATTCTGTGGTGACTGAGATAAAAGATGCATAAGAATGTCTCATAGTATTTTTTCATAAATTTTAAGAACCCTATTTTATCTAAATCATATAGAGCAGCATCTCCAACAAATTTGATCAAGTTCACACAATCCAACTTACTTCAACAATCCGTTTTTTTATTGAAATAGACAATAATAAATTTTCTTTGCTCACTTGAGTTTCTTTGGCGATCGGTATTTCGGGATCATTTCCATATTTGTTCTGAATTTTGAATTTAAAAATAAACCAAATAATCTCACTTTACTTGAGGAAAAGACTCCCCTAATATTTCCGGCAGGAAAAATTCTATTCAGCGCTTTCAATCGTTTAATATCTAATTTTATTGAAGTCCCTCAATGTTACTTATCCACAGGAAAAGTTAATTCACAATTTCGCATTTCACTTCCACTCCAATTAATTTGTCAATAATAAATAAAAAGAAATAAAACATAGTCCCGAGAAAAAGTTTTATTCTCGAACAGTAACGTAGACAGATGACAGACAGACGTCCAGGTGGACAGCTGGGCAGAGTTGAGCGTCGGCGGGTCTGTCGTCAGCCTAAGCATATCTTGCGGCTCAATCAGCCCCAGAGGCCGGAGCCAATCCTGCTGCCGCCGAAGCGTCCCCTGCCGAAGCCGCTGCCGCCGCCCCTGATCCGGCCGAGGCGGCCACTTCCGCCGGCGTTAGTGCCATAGCCCCCCTGCCCGGAAGACAGGTGGCCGGAGTCCGATTCCGAGTTGGTGTACTGCGGGAAGACAATCCAAATGGTAGGGGAAATTTTGTATTTCGCCGTCTTAGGTCTTATTGAACTTCTCGAAGTTGGAATATTTCTATGACACACATCAATTGCACCTGTTGCATATAACAGCTGTCAATCATCGGCGTTTATTTTTTTTTATTGTTTCGTCTGGTGAATGAAGCTAACAGAGATCACCCTCTTAAGCCTTACCTTAGCGTTACACTAAGAACGGGAATTTATCCCGTCACTATAAAGCTACTTCAAATACACGAACTGAATTGCATACGCGTTGCGTATAGATATAGATACAGATACAAATATACAAATACCTAATCGTGAATTAACTGCTAATCTTAAACACTAAAAGTCGAACATAAGACTGCATCTGCTAGAACCTAGCCGTTGTTTCCAGATGTCAGTTATATGAGATTTAGTTGCATTTCGATTGCGGTCAAGATCAGAGATGTGCATTATATATCAAGCTCTACTGACTAGTTCTGGTAATCACCGTAGTGGAAGTAATCATCATTATGATTACTTGACACGTCATCTTTTTTTATTCATACTAAAAGAGAGACGCCGCAATCGTGCTAGCCTTATTCATAATTGCTTTTTCATCTTCATTCTCATTTTAAATCGATAAAATGGTGACGTTTTTAATTTCTTTAAATTTTGATTTGTCTTCCTTCTTTTCCACGCAATCAACGTGGTCTGTGTCAGAGAGTGCAAGAGAGTGAGACTTCCAAGATACCCCGAAGATATCACTTATGTGCGCGTATAAAGTTCTGATCCACTCACCGATGTGAACTTGTTCCTCCGGTGTCCCTCGCTCAAGCCGCCGCCGGAAGCGCCGCTGTTGTATCCCTGACCTCCGCCTCCTCCGGAAACGTCGTTGTACCTGCCACCACCCAGGCCCCTGCTGCCGTAGCCACCGCCACCCCCGAGGCCGTAGGACTCCACGGCCGCGAACGCCGCCAAGCAGACCAGCACGATAGCGAACTGGAAATCGATTTATATGGGTTGGTGAAATTGGGCACGTGGCACTGCCGGTTTTACGGCGGTAGGGCCACGCAGCAGCCTCGGCTGTTGCACGAATGGGCAGTTTCGTCCGGGTAAGTACCACGACCTCACAGAAGACCGGCGTAAAGTGGAAGTATAATACTTTCGCGTTTCGTCTGGTGAGTGAGGTGAGGTGGGAGTCCAATTTTCAAAAGGTTGTCTACGTATCGGGAACCCTCGGGTGTAGCAGATGTCCATGGGCAGCGGTTTTCACTTAACATCAGGTGAACCGTCTGCTTGGCAGTTTTTACATAAAAAAAGGTTTCATTTTTCTAACCATCTGTTGCAAAATTCTCTCTCCAGTAACCCTGGAGCAGTAATACTGGAGAGAGAATTTTGAATTGAGTATTACGGAGCTAATGTCAAATACCTTAGTTAATAGGTTAAACTTGGATTGAAAAATAAGGTACCTATTGATGTCGTGTACGCTAAATTTTGTGTGATATCTAAGCATATGTGCTCCGTCGTTTTTGATTGGTGGCGTTCCATAAATATAAACATCTAAATTGATTGTGTCGTTATAATTATTAAGTATCGTTAAGACGTTACTTTTTTATTTACGGTCGCGATAAATATAGCACATATATTATCATGTAATATATGTGCATATATCATACAATACCAAACATATATTTATGTGTGTTTAATTGTTGACTTGAGATGATTTAATATTTTCATTTCATTTATACACGAGTAACCGACCCTATATGATCAATTTTATATGGATATCCCGAAAACATTCATAACCAATAATAGAACGTTCAATACCACCCTTGAGCATAGGACCCTTTTTGTTTGCATAACCCTCCCTTTGCTGACGAGCGAGCTATGTAATTGCAGAAATATTGCGGACACAGTAAGGTATCTTTACGAATTCAACTGTAGATTTGGACCTATAGAAGTAAGAATTATGGTGTGCGGTTTCTAATCAATATTTCTAGTTGTTGAAGGAGATTTGTTCGAAAATTGACTTGGCTTCATAATCTCCCTCCTATTAAGGTATCCTCCTAATTTATCAAATTATCAAGGTAAACTAAGACACGAATATGTTCAGTATACTACAGTTTGTTTTTTTTTAACAATGTTATGTATTCAAGTCATTAGATAATAATAATCTTAACTTATATGACGTTGTCCAATTGTTAAAAATTAACTAAACTCTTTCGTTACACATTAACAGTTAATGTTAGTTAATCAATTTTCTTTAATACAAATACGACGTGGCCAGCGGAAGAGTGAAGAAGCGGGAGAGAGAAGATAGCAGAAGGGAAGTGCGTCGTGCGGAGCGCAGACGGTCGCGGCGGATTGAACTCGAATCTGGACTTTGCCATGTCCAGGTTCGAGTTCAATCCACCGTATCTGTCATGCATGACATACAGAAGGATATTGAAGAATACAGAAGAATTCGCTGACTGAAGAAAATGGATGATTTGACCAGTAAGAAGAGCTCGGTCAAATACGTTAATTCCTATTTCTAATGGCTTTTTTGCAATTCTTTTTTTTATTTATTTTATTAAAGAGGGTTTTTACACACGTAGGTAAATATCACCCTCATTCTACAAACTTAGTTACGAAAACACTTTTAAACAAAAAAAAAAACATTAAACAAAACAAGACAAATATTTTTCAACAATATCATAGTGTTCTAGCATCTCTAGAAGTTGGAAAAGCTAATACATTTTTACAAAAACTAACATATAATGTTTTAGATATGAATTCACACCCCTCGGCTTCAACCCTTACACATTCCACCATGATGTGGTGCCTATCTTCAATTATTTCACATTGGCTACATTAGGCGAAGGGCAGGATACCATCTGATGGACGGCATATGATATAATAACAATGTTTTTTTTTATATTGACAGTGCTCACAAAGTAGAACCAGTCAGATTCCTAGTTAAACCCTTGTAAGACTTTTTATTTCAAAAAGATTTATATTAAATTGAAAAGATTTCTCCTCACCAAGTGTTTCATGTTGACACCTTCTCGTCCGCTTCACGATTGAATAAAGAGTTTGGGCCGCACACGAATTTAACGAACGCCTTTATCTCGCCTCTCATTTATAATATAATTATTTTTTAATTGATCTCACTGCGGTCGCTCTGGAAATATCCGTGTGATAATTCGTTATGTCGTTTATGAAACGTTTGATGAGAGATATATGATGTCCGCTCCATTGGGGCGTTTTAAAAAAACCCTTTCAAAATTCCCCAGTTGCATATTGGAAGCGAATGGAAATTTTAATTGGAATATTTGCTCATTCGTAGGTAAATTTAAAGTTGTACTCAGACAAAGTATTAAAACTTAATCCGTTGTCTATTCTTAAAGGCGTGTAAGTAGCTTTCTATACCTTAAGAACTAATTTTTAGGATAATGTTGTTGTTACCTTTAACTGTAGTAACGCAGCAGCTTCGGCTGTTGCACGAATGGGCAGGTCCGTCCGGGTAAGTACCACGACCTCACAGAAGACCGGCGTAAAGTAGAAGTATAATACTTTCGCATTTCGTCTGGCCGGAGCCCAATTTTCAAAATATTGTCAACGCATCTGCAACCCTCGGATATAACAAATGTCTATGGGCGGCGGTATTCACTTAACATCAGGTGATGAATGGCCAGCTCGCTTGCAACCCCTAGATAAAAAAAGTCGTATAGATATATATGGTCACTATTTAATTTTAGTTTATCTTATATGAATGATTCGTATGTGTTTAGTTGGTAAATCTGTTATAATTATTATAAATAAATAAATAAACATGTAGACATTTTTAGGCTTCTTAGTTTTGAAAATAAATGATAGTGGTACCCATTGGTTGCAGTCATTTATATTACAGATTTTTACGCATACTTCTTCGTTGTGTCCAAAAAAACGCACTTATACAAACATGACTGTCAAAATTTCTTTAATGTTTAATCATCGAAACTTGTTAAGTTTTTATGCTTATTGTAATAAGAATCACAATTTGCATTTTATGCTTATTGTAACAAGAATCACAATTTGCAAGGTTGCTTTGCTACTAACGTAGATTGTTGCTAACAACCTAATTGTTAGTTTAATTACTCTTTGCGCTCTTAGCACTAGAATAGGTAGCTACGAACAATGTAATTAATGTTAAGACACTGTCAGTATAAGGAAACATAGCATATTCCGCAAACATATCTCTTATATTACCAGTAATAAGCTTACTGTAATTATTATATCCTGACACGTTGAGAAAGTCGCTCTAAAGTTCGAAAATCAAAGGAATTTTGTCATTCCTTTGATTTTCGAAAATGAACACAAACAGAACGAAACAAACACATTAAATATAAAATGCTAGACTTAGTTTTATAAACACATAAAAGTATGGTTATATGATATATATATTTATAAAAAAAAAATTTATATATATATATATATATATATATATATATATAAAACTCAGTCTGTTCGTGTATACATAAGATGGCATTTTAAAATGTAAACTTGAAATAATGAGGCCGTTTCTCTAGTCGCGAGTCCGCATCAAGATGTTCCGTACATTCGAGTCGCATAATATCCCTGGAGATACTGCTGCAGGTAGGTGACGATAATAGAGTGCGGAGACAGCCAAGTCGCCCCCCTTTATTATGCTAACATGCATTCAAGTCTAGAGGACCAATAGCGAAGGCAATGTCATACACACACTGTTTAGTATCTCCCGCGTCATATCTCGAAATTGCATTCATATTTCTACATGCTTATTTTCGTCATCGGCAAAACGTAAAAAAGACGCAGCGATAAATATGGAGGAAGAAATGCTGAGATGGTTTGAACAATTAGAAATGTCGAATAGAAACTAATAATACAGAATGTTTATAAGGTTTGTGTATGAAAGGAGATTAATCGAAGGGATATGGTACGTTTTCCTACGAGATGACTAATAGTGAATGTAATAAGAACGTATTCTTCTTTATTAAATTATTACATATTGGTACAAAGAAACGACTTTCTGGTTTTAACCTAGTTTTGTAACCGAGTAAGTTAGGCTTTAAGTAATTAAAGTAAAAAATTGGAAATTGATGTTTAGACTTATCATTGTACTATTTTTTATTTCATTATCTATAAATATATTTATCTGTACATTAATACGTGAAGAAAATGGATTGGATCCCTTTTTATAATTATGAATATTACGCGCACGGAGAAATGTGAGATTTAAAAATTTACTTATTACGGTGGCATCTCGAAAAATAGGCGACTAGTTAGTGGTTGGGGGAATCTCCATACACACATGTAAGATTTTATTTTTAATTACTATACATATAAGCTGAATCTCGCAGTTCTTTGTTTCTTGAGTTTCTTTTGCCTCGTAGTTCTTTGTTTCTTGAGATGAAACAATATATTAACTAATATTTCATTGTTAAATGTGGCGTAGTATGCGACACTTAGCTTTATCGGATTCGAAACGGTCAGATCGAAAAATCTCTAGATTTTATAGTTTCGAAAATATATCGATTATTAAAAGTTTGTGATTATGATGTCTAGTTGACCTGTTGTCTGGACATAAATCTTCATTTGGGGCTTATTACATTCTCTCGTAACTTTGTTAATGCGTAATGATGCACATTCATCAAGAATTTCGCCAAATCATTACATTTTCTCTATCTGACAAGTCATGCTGGAACGGAACAAAGTGAAACTCATCATGTGCCAGCTGTTTCACTTGAAACGACCAATGAATTGGGCAAAGGCACTTTATGGCGTAGAATCAGGTTCGTGAATACAAGTTATAGTAAGAGGATAAAAGGAAACATGTTCATTTCGACACAACTTTTATTATTTCCGTTTCGACTTGGCGCTAGGCTCAATTCACACTAAGAAAGAAGCAGTCTGCCATGCAACAGCGAGCTGTTTCAGATGTACGCCAAAACAAAATCGTCTCTCGACCTTTACCGCGTCTGTCTTCTCGCGAGATTTACTGAAAAATGCTGTGATTCAAGCGATAGCATATATTTTAGCAATTTTGTTATATCTGAGACGACTTGCCGCTGCGCTAGCGGCTGCTTTCGACTTAGTGTGAATCCAGCTGCGGAATTTAAGCGGTCACTGACAGCCGACAGCACAACCGAGACGATAGAGGTTTCTGCTTCATTATCCTTTGGAAGTGGCACGGGATACAAGCGTCATACATCCGATGGAGATAGACCGTTGGCCGATGGAGAGGTTGTGGCTAGTCGAACGTGTCGGTGGGTCGGTGGGTCGGTGGGGGCCCTTAGGGCAGGTAGGTGCGGCCGGAGCCGTGCGCGCTCTGGCCGTAGCCGGCGCCGCCGCTGTGCGCGCTGCCGTGGCGACCGCCACCAGAGCTGCCGGAGCCGCGAACACCAGCGCTGCCGGAGCTGTGGCCGGACTCGCGCTCCGTCTTCGAGAACTGCGGGACGTGGCGGGTGTTTAGGTCAACTTATGATGGTTAGTTGCGTCGAGTTGACAAGCTCTGTGGTGGTTAACTAAGATCGTCGTTTGAAATTCCAGTTTTGTTATTGATACAAATTAGTGCTGGCTCATATTGCAAAGCGTACGGTGACAGGCTTAGCAGCTGTCGTAATTGCTGCTTAATAAATTAGTTTATTTTTGATAGCGTGTATTCACAGATAACCAAGATGAATCCTTTGAATGATGAATGATTGCGACGACTTACGGAGGTGTGGCTGTCTTTGCTGTAGCCGTCGTTGTGCTTGGCGCCGGCGCCGCCGGAGTGGGCGCTGCCGCCGTGGGCGCCACCGGACGCGCCCGCGCTGTGGCCACCCCCGTGGGATCCCGACGCGAAGTTCTTGCCCACGCCCAGCCTGCTCGGGCTCAGGTCTACGTCGTCCGTGGGCACCGCCAAGGCCACCGCCAAGCACGCCAACGAGACAACGATCTGAAACGGCGATAGTTTGCGTTAGTGAATTTTTTTACAATGTATACACGAGTTTAAAAGAATATTGTCCTAGAAAGATATGTAGATATACCTGGATTTTTGATATACGTTTATCTTTATAGAAGTACTTATCTATCTATATACATATATAGATAGATAAAGCCGAGTTCGAGAGATCAGCTAAGAACGGATTTTATGAAATTCTACATGACAACGTTTACCGGATCAGCTAGTTACCTATAAACAATCTGTGAATCTTATGTAAATCTTTTCAATGGCCGTTAACTGCTAACACTTTTTTAGATGAATGCAAGCAATGGCACATTTTAGTTTCGATTTAAATACCACATCTGTGCTAGGCTTACGGTGAAACACGCTACATGGCAATAAATTAACTGAATTTCTATAACTAACCTATTTGAGTAAAAGTATACATATTATGCTGTCGGAAGATCTAACCGAGTTTCCCATAGCTTAAAAACATATCTTAGGACTTAGTATGCTTATTAGATAGACTTTTGCGGTCAGATATACGAAACTTAACACTTGGAAATGACTTACCATGGATTTCATGTTTGCAGTTTGCGTGTTCACACCAAAACTTGGAATAATGTGATTCAGTATGCGCTTGGTATTTATACACACCTTAATGAAATTAGTAATTTAGATAAATTTTTTAATTGCTCAAAATATGGATAATGGGAAATTGATAATAGAGTAACAAGATGCTAAATTACCTAATGCATTAGTTTGATTGGTTACATTAATAAATCTTTATTAATTTAACACTGATAAATAATAAAACCAAGTTTTGTGCAAAAAAATTGTTCAAAATTGAAAAAAAATATGAACTGATTGTGATAATTAGTACTACTGCCTCTTTAGTAAAGTATTTTAATAGATCTCATATATTGGCTTTAGCAGTCTAGGCCAAGTTTTTCGTTTCTCTTTCAGATTGACCAGAAAAATAAAGGAAATTACTTTAAGTAATGTACAATACATGATTTCGCATAACGATTGTGATTTTGGTCAGTATCATAGGCAACTACATGATTTTTTGTTATTATTTCGATAATATGATGGTGCCCTTACAATGTTTTCCTTCACCGCTGAACACGTGAGCACCAGGAACCGAACTCCGGGTGCTCGAGCATATTAAATTAAAGCGAGCGCCCAGACACTGAGCTGTCACGGCTTCAGTCAAGTCATAAAAGCGAATTTCAATCGCTAGACGGAATAAACCATCTCGAACACGTTTTAAGACAAATGAATAGTGGACGATGTGAGGTTGTAGTGCACCTTCATTTACAAAACTTTAGGTTATTGAAAGCTTAATTTTATTTTATTCCATATCTCCTCTTATCCAACACATCCGATGATGTCAGCGTATAAAACCGACCTGGTGCGATTCAGACTTGCGCACGAAGGGTTCCGTACCATTGTCTATTAAAGCGGCAAAAATCATGTCTGTTTTATCGGAGGCCCCACTTAAATACTCTTTTATTCTGTTTTTTACTTGTTAAGTAAATACTTAACTAAATAGTTTAGTTGTTTAGTAGTATTATAGCGGCATAAATACATCATCTGTTAAAATTTCAAATGTCCGACTGTCACGGTTCAAAAGACTTGTGACAGACAGACAAACAGATTGACACACAGCGGAATCTTAAGAAATGCGACGCCGTTTTACTCTTTGGGTACGGAACCCTACATACCATGCTGTACACATAATTTCTTTTACTATGTACGTTTGTCTATTTTTATACATTCAAGTTTGATTAAGGATGTATAGTTCACTTTACAAAGAATTGCTTAATCGTATTAAATAACTGACAAAATGTTCGCGTCTCAGTCTCCACATCATCCTTATTCGGTTTGAGGTCATTACAACGGCCAATCAGACCTACTTTTGAGAGACTTTCGACGCGCGCTTTGGCGGTACGGACCCATTGTGTAACAGACATACATTTCTAAGAATTAGTAATTTAATCAAGCTGATTAAGGTTTTGTTTTCTGTTACTCTCCTTTGCTTCACGTATAAAGGCTCAATAAATAGTAGCTCCGTGCCGGTGTTCGGTTTCAATCAGTTCCAAAAACCTTAATGATATACAAATCAAGAGGTATTATAAAATGACGTATACTTCTTGCACCTGATGTTCAACATCTACGGTTACAGGTTTATTCTACGCCTGTCAGTACATCGCCCATCTGGTACGGCGTACTCTACTTATAATATCAATGTAGATATAAGCAAGCCTACTATACTACTTGAATCTTAATTTTGACGACTCGATTCGTATAGTGGATAGTGCAACTGTCCCTTGCAGTTGGGGTGTACGTACAATCCCCACTACTGATAAAACAATGTGCGGTGACCATAGTGCTTTTCTAGTTCCTGGGTGTTTATGTATCTATAATATGTATTTATTTACAAAAGAAAAGGATGTTAAAGTTTTTTTATCCGTTACCTAGTACCCATAGTACCTAAGCTATTTTTTTTTTTGCTTTTTTTGCCTTTACTTTTTTTAACAAGCTTTGTTTGCCTAGATGATTTGGTAAAAATATGTCTGGAAAATTTATTTTACCTAATTATTTATTCATTTATTGATAGTTCTTATATAGAAATACGATTTTAAAATTCGTGAATAATTATGTTAATGGGCTAAGTTCATGATTTGTTCAGATTTAACTTTCAGCGAATAATTTAAGCCAAGTAAAATCGAAAAATATTTTAGTTAAAAGTTACGCAATAATAAAGGCAAACTAATGGTACAAAGCTTTAGTTTAGAAGTGGGCGACACAAATCGTATACAGATATGAAAACTATATATTGATACAATATCCGAAAATCGCTTACTGGCTCGTTCAAAATCTATGTATTTTACAATATCTGATATTTCCGAAATCTGATGTACCGAATACTCGCTCACTCGCTATACCAACACGAATCGCGATATAATACGCGTTTGTCACAATATCAGATTTCTAGACAAAGCGCGTGAAATACAAATATTCACTAGTTAGAGCGGTACGGCAATCAATGCACAATATCAGATTTTTAAACAGATTTCGAGCGACAAAGCGCGTGAGATACAAATATTACACTAGTTAGAGGGGTACGGCAAACAATGCACAATATCAGATTTTCAAACAGGTTTTATGAATAATTTAAGCAATTTATAATCTTTACAGCATGGAAAAAAATTCTGTTTAATTTAAATACGAATCATGGTATTAACGATGTCTTTAAATTTTGTTTAGCCTTGAGCTGGAGTGCATTGAACTGCATTGGTACTTAAGCACGTAATAGTAAGGGATGCCAACTTAGGAATTTTCTTCCTAAATTAAGGAAGAAAAATATACAATGGAAATTTTAGGAGGTAAATTTTTTGGGAAGATTTTTAGGAGTTAAATTTTATTTACATATTTGAAAAAGTACACAAAACGAAAAAGAAAATATAATTTAATAGTGCTGTGCTGCTTTGGTGGACGTCAAGCCAAGGCTTAAGTGTCTTGAGTGTATATTTTAAATTCTTCCGCCCTAAACTATAATATTGAATGTATTATTTCTTACACAAAATATAAAAAAAATTATCACTCATGATTGCGTGTTCTGGGGTGTTAATAATACATAATTGAATTATGTATTATGTTTTAAAAAAACCTTAAAAAATTTAAATGAACGCCTTACCTTGTAGGACTCACTGGTTTTAACATTTTTTTTATTATTTTTTTTTATGTATTTAAGGTGAATACGCAAACGTAAAATATCTAGATATTAAAATACATAGTTTCGAAATCCGATATTTGAAATCGAAATCTGATTCAGATACGGTTCTCAGGAAAAGCGATACGACCCATCTCTACTTTAGTTATAACAAATTAAGCTAAATATTTTTTAATATTGAAGTATTAATACGGCACTCCTTAATATTTAAAAGCTTTCTGTCTGTAGTTATCTTCCAATCCAAATCTTGTTATGTTATTTTTATTTAAACACTTATCAAACATTAATAATTTTCCCAATATAATACAAAATCAATGCAGTAATACTAGATAAACGGTCGTCAATAAAAGTGTGGTAAATTATAAATAATTTTATTTGATGATTATTAACAGTAGTTGTGAAAGACATCAAAAATTAGGTTCATTTGCTTGTTAGTCTTCCATTTTGTCTGTCAACCTTCGTGCTCATCATCTGGAAAGAATAAAATCTTATTAAATGCGATCACCCATATTTAGATTATAAGTCAACTGTAGCATTTCCGGGCTCTGTGTCTATACTATAGCTTATACCCAGGATTGAAAGCAAAAACATCATCTAACAGAGACTGTATGTTTCCCTTTCGTTGGTGAGTTTTGATAGCCTGTTTTAACATGGTAAGCCCCACGGTGGTTTCATAGAAGATGAGCAAGTTATACACATTTCGTTCGGTTTTTCATCACATATTCTACACCACTTAGCTACTGTGCATATGTCCATTGGCTGTGCTAATGCAAAAAACAAGGGAACGGCCCTGTGGTACGGCCACGCAACAGTCTTCTCTGTTGCACCAATGGCCAGATCCGTCCGGATAAGTACCACGACCTTACAGAAGACCGGTGTCAAGCGGAAGTGTTATACTTCTGCGTTTCGTCTGGTGAGTGAGATAGCCGGGGCCAAATTTATTAAAAGGTGGCAGTGCTTCTGTAACCCTACTGGTGTTGTAAATGTCAATGGGCGGTGGTTATCACTTAACATCAGGTATGTAACTCGTATGTCACCTTCTCGCATAAAAAAATATCTACCCCGCTACGGCATTAAGAAGCCTGAATCCGACTCTGTTGATGAGCCCCTTGATAAGGCCCTTGCCGAGGCCGAACAGGCCCCCGTCGAAGCCCAGGTCGCCGTCCAGCCCGAGGCTTATCTTGCCCAGAAACGGCAGCCTCAGGCCAGCGCCCACTTCCCCGGCGACGTCGCCGTACGCCTCCGCCGCGGCGATTGCGCCGCACACCAGCGCAGCAAGAAGCTACGTTCGAAAATATCAATTTTGTAGTAGCAGGCCACAATTTTTGCCCATCATTGTGCATAATAATACCTAAACATGATAGGTTTTATTGATGTGAAAAATGATCAAGCGAGCAGACGTTCTCGACGAAAATGAATACCGCCGCCCATGAGCACCTGTATACCTTAGGGGTTGTAGACACGTTGACAACATATAAAATAGGTTCCAGTTACCACACTCACTCGCGAAATAATAATTCCACTTGACGGATGAGCCTGCCCATTCGTGCAACAGTGGAACTTGCTGCGTACCACAGTAAAAAAATGTAGTCCTTCTTTGTTCACTAGGGCATCGAGATAGTATCCGAAAAACGAAGATCTGGAAATTCCTGCATGTAGCTGACCTTGCTAACCAAAGCTGCTTGTCCGTTCGGGCACTAAGATTATTTATTCTTTACTTGAAATTATTTCACATCGCTTTTTCCAACCTTCATTGTAAGCTTAAATGTAATGTTATCTATCGCCGATTCGCATATTTAAATGCAAGAACCATTGAATGTCATACCTAACACTGGAAAAAACGACTGCTTTAATAAGTCGTTATAGCCATTGTCTAATGTCTGTGTTCTTAAAACCACTTTCAGTGAGTTAATGTAGCAGAAGGCTTTTCCTTTATTGTCGATGAATAATTCAGGCAAAAGGAATCTAACTTCATGTTAACTGCAATTAAATAATTTCGCCAAATGAACACTTATTCACTCACATATTCCCGCATGAGCCCATTGTTGTATGGAAATATCTCAAGAGAATTAGAACTCTGGCATTATTCTGTGAAATCTCTTTATGGCTCCGTCGAAATGGCTATTAATTTCATACGTTTCTTTTAATCTAGACGCTCCACTTTTGTGCGGTGACCATGAGTACAGATGTAAAGTGCTTGAAAACTTGCGAAATTGGATGAAAAATCAACGTGATGAAATATGTATTATAGTTTTATACCGCGATAATAGTGTTTGCTACAACGAATGACATAACCATTATTCCGTTCCATATTTTTCGGCATACATTGTCAGCAAATGTAAGGTAAAAAACAAATAAACACCAATTCAAAAACAATTACATACATGTAAGACGTTGTTTTTGTTAATAATTATATTAAGAAAATGGTTGAAATAGTTTGTATGATTATTCATATGATCAAAGATCACTTTAACTTACTAGAAGCTTCATGTTGCGGCACTCGATGACTATAATATTAGGAAACCATTTGAAATCATCCGCCTTTATATATGGCCCTTTATCTTCAGCTCGTTACATGTCTATTATACTAAGAGTCCATATAGTTTAGATACTATTAATGCACTCATCGATATTGCTTTAATTAATGAAACGTCCATTAGAAAAGATACATTGCGACATTTTAACAAAATTTTCTTTAAAAATCTTTTTCATAATTGGGAGTTAACTACAATTCTTATTCACAAAGAGACCAATGAGGATAAATAGCTCATATTTCGTTTTATTAAGTCCCTGTTTTATGGAAGCGTGAAATCATGAAAAGAAAAAACACTCAAAAGAACTGCAGTTACATGACCCAATGTTTTTTTCCCAACGTGCGTTCTTGCAATGGAAAAAATATCTCATATTTGAACGAGTATACATTTTATTGAAATGAAAGAGATTGATATGCAGCATTTCATTCGATCCCTTCCTCTCAAAAATCTTTGATTGCGAACTGTTTGATTGTGCGAGACAAACACTAGGCTGAGGTACAGCCTGTCTCGGCAGCGCAGGGTGATTTCCAAACAACCTTTCACATTTCGTAAGCGGCCTTCTGAAATATTCACCTCTGGAGTCGCATTATGTGGAGCTTGGTTCACAGTTCGTCGTTTGACAGCCCGATTGCCTTTGAGAGCGCAGCCTTTTTTTTTTTGATGTTGTGAAACTTCTATTTGAGTTTCCAAAAAGGAATACGATAATAATGTGTTCAGATATCAACTAATAATATTCTCTTAAATTTGAATATTCTTTCAGTCAAAAGAAGCACAGTTATCTGTACATCATGCGAACACGAGAAACACTTGTACCTATAATTTAGGCACGCGGAAAGAAAATTCCGGTTCACGTGAAGAACCATAAGCTATTGGAATATTGGCAAAGGACATCCAGACGTAATATTTGCCCGTGCACGACAAGCATGTATATGTACGTAGATATAATGAATCGTATATCAAAAAGCATTATGCATATTTAGAATCCAAAAGTCAGCTTATCACTCTCCTTGTAACATAAAATTGTACTTTGTCGTTATATTTGTTGGTATATTTGGTAGATATTGTTTCTTTAGATTTCCAGTTCGTTAACTTGCCGCCGCGCACAAAGTGCCATGCCTTGTAAATGGTGTTGACGTAGAAACTTCTTCGCAATTAATCAACTCCACCGTTACAATAAACCTTAATCGTTCGCTAACTGTCTGTTAATAGCATCGCCTAACGCCTGTTGTTTGTCGATGTTGAGCAATATCGTTTCGTAATTTACCCGTTTCTCTAAGAGGATGCCTTTCGTCTTTTCAGCTGGCGATGAAATTCATCCATTGGCAACTTATAAAATAATCTTACTTATAACTTATGTTCGTTAGTTAAAGTTTGTGGTGTGTACCCAAATTTATTTTTACCTACACTTTTTTCGATTGTATAGATACAAATAAAAAGAAATCAATGATACCATTTATTTGAATAAATCACCTCTTTTTTTTCTCAGTAATACTAAAAAATATTCCAGTAAGATTCAAGCTTGGTACTAATTACCTATTAACTAATCGACTACTAGCGAAGTTCCTTTACGACGATATACGGAACGAGTGCATTATTTCGTAATAACTTCATAATGTGTCACACACTACATTCCGTTACTAGAGAATTTAACCTACTAAGAAAAAGAAATCAACCTTTCCTTCAAATTATATTACGAACGTATTTGGATGAAGATTAAATTTCTTTTTTATTACTCGGTCCATACCGGTATATATTGTAAAATAAAGGATAAACCAATGTTGGAAATCCGGATATGCCAACGCAATTACAACTTGGGCGTTGGACGTCCAACATTTAGTTCAACGGTACCGGCTTAACAATACTCATAACATAACATAGGCCTGATTAATTTCGAATCCGATTTCACATTCGGTCGCTTCGCGCTCCGTCAACTTTATCGGTTCCAATCAGAGTGTTGTGCTCGTTCGCCATTGCTATATCGATGGTCTTTGTTAACGCCCCAACTGCGAGGGTTTCGCCATTCGTTGGTCCGTTCACGACAAATGAACGAATGAAGCGAACGGTTGCGATCGAATAGCCGGTCAGTGTAGAAAGCTTTTGTTTCTACGCGGCGGGGAGGAGCAGATGAATCTTTTCCCTACAAATTAAGAGTCGGCCCGGAATACGATTGGATTCGTAACAGGTTTCCGGATTGCTTTCGCTGTCGACTTGTGCTTTTTTTCTCTTATCTTTATCGGATGATGTTCAGCTTTCAGTTGTATAGAATTGCATCCCCCGTTTTCAATATAATATACACCGACTTATCGATTTCACATTTATATCTACGTATATGTAAATAAAGTATAATACGATTTCTTCTGAAGAATGTGCAGCAATTGCGATATTATTCCAGTGAAATATAATCTGTTTTCTGAATTTCGTCAAAATTAATTCTACGTTGCTTGATTTAAAAAGTATTAAGCAGGTTCCTAGAACTGCCATAATTTTATCATATTTAATTTTGGTTTTAATTATATATCGAAAACTTTACAGATACTGAGGTATCTTAAAGCTAATGCCATAGGCAATCCGGTCTACTATCAACTTAGTTAATAATTTATATTGTCCTATCTACCAAGTATGATTTAACAATACCTTAAACTATAACTATAGCGTAAATACAATAAACAGAATACATAAACATACATAACGTAGTGATTATTTTAATATAATTATTTTTATAATTAGTTGTAATTTTCATTATAGTTTTTATTGTTATTTTATGTTATAAGAATTGACTCAATATGATAAATTAATAAATTACAAGCTCAAAGCTGTCGACTTTCTCCGACAAACATCACAAAGGCTATAAATTATTGTGTATCTTCAATGTGATTTGCTATGTAAATTTTTAAAAAATGACATTAGACGGCGCCAATCTTTGCTAAAAACTGCAATAAAGAAAATAGATTATGATATTTTCACACCTCAACTGGTTAGAGGTTCTGGTCACATTGCTTGGAAGACTGCAGTTCGAATGCCGCAGCGCATAAAACTTATGACAATTTTTCTACAAAAAAAAACAATAAAAACTCGCCATAAATAAAAATTGTGTATATTAAAAGGAATATTCCTGTTATAGGTTCAAAGCCGCCAAAATATAAAGAGGTTGTTATTAAGAAGAAAATAATTATCGGTATAATCATTTCGCGTGATATGTAGTATTGGTCTCGGCTTAGCGCATAATAGCTGTATTGGTTTCCTGTCACGAGCTGCTATTTACACTATAATTATACTCTTATGAATACCCACAACGCTCTCTTCAAGATATAAGTTCTATTTCTCCGTGTTAAGTGTGAGTGTGAGGATATGAAGCATTCTTGATTCGTTGCATTGTTTTTCTTTAAATCTTTCACGAATTTAGCAACTTTCTATTCACACTAAATTAACGATAGTTATATTTTTTTTTTATGTGAAAAGTTGCCAAGCGAGCAGGTGGTTCACCTGATGTTAAATGCAAAACCGCCGCCCATGGACATCTGCTACACCCGAGGGTTTGCAGATGCGTTGACAACCTGTTTTGAAATTGGGCTCCGGCTACCTCACTCACCAGACGAAACGCGAAAGTATTTGTCATACTTCCACTTTACGCCGGTCTTCTGTGAGGTCGTGGTAATTACCCGGACGAGCCTGCCCATTCGTGCAACAGCCGAGGCTGCTGCGTGGCTCTACCACCGTTAATGTTATTTATTAAAGAAACTACTTTACGGATTTTATCGCGTTTTTTATTTTGATTTAAATTCCCGACGTTTCGAACCCTTTCCAGCGTTCATGGTCACGGCGAGAATAAAAAACGCGATGAAATCCTTCAAGTAGTTTCATTTAATATGTATAATATTCGCGTAAAATCAAGAAAAAAATATGATAGTTATATTGTTACGGATACTGAGTTCGGGACGCAAGTTAGGTTAAATCTTCGCTTACACTAATAACGTGCGTGGCGCAATTCCTTTGTAGCGTAATCCTCCACTTTACTACTACAGCTGCGACGGCTCTCTCATTAACCACCAATCGCCTGGAGACGCGTAGTTTGAGGAATCCTCGTACTGCCTTACAGGTGCAATGGCCCTCACGTAGTCGCCTCAATCCTCCACGTACGCAATTACACCTCTGCCCCTCTCTTGTCCTCTTCTACCTCTAATTTCCTCTCCTGCACTCACCTCTAGCTAGCTCTCCGTCTAGCTCGTCGCCCTCCTGGCCCCTTTTACAGGCAGAATAGCGATCGTCTTTTCGTCTAAAACTTTCTAAAAGCGTGGTGAAGTTCGACACTAATCGATAGTAAGTTCTGGAATAAGAACCTTCTTATAATATATTCCTTTTGGATCTAGACATTAAAGACCCCGTGATGGTAACAATATTATTACTACACCCGGCCCAATACATTTGCGTTGTTTATTACAAATGCATAAACTTAGTGGTAGTGGTAAAATCAAATTAGTCGCTTGTTAAATAAATATCATACTTGTCTAAACAATAGACAAAAATATATATGTATTTCACTATAAATTCTTCTATGCGCGAGTACAAAGCAAAGGTACAACACTTTTGCATCATATAAACGTGCAAGCACAACGTAGAGGTGATATTAAAGTAACTATATAAGTTCTTTTGATATTCGCCCAACTCAGGTGTTACGTAGGTACGAAGCGTAGCCGACGGGGCAATATTGCAGCTTGCAATTGCAATTTTTCGCCGGATTACGTCCACGTCAGGGCTTACGTCGAATCCTGGCGCGAACGCGGCGCATACGAGGGGATTTTCGATCGAGGCGGCCGCACGCGGAACGCAATAAGGCGGAATAGATATCGGGATATTGAGTGTAATGCGCCACGGAGACTTGGGGCGTCGATAGACATCGGATTAACGGCAACCGGGAACCGCTTTCGGACCGCTACGCTTGGGACCTTCAAGAAGAGACTCCCATCTTAAAGGTGACGCCTTTTTAATTCTCCAGTATTGCGTGTTAACGATCACTTATGTATTTGTTTGTTTTACGCATCCTCAATAAATTACTAATAGTATATTTAGCATAATAATGTCAAGTCAGTAATTAAATTGATGGCCTATTTCTACTAATAAAAAATAATCGAAGGTCAAAACATATAACGGCATGATTGTGTTTTCTAATAACACGGTAAATATTGTTAGAAGTTCGTGTTGGTCGCTCATAATGGTGTCTCCACGGGCTCCCGCAAGGTCGAGGCACAATCGTCGCCCGGTAAACTCCAACGGGGCGGATGTTTGATCTGGGATAGGGTGGTCCACTGTTTGCCCGCTCGTTTTCAATATCCTCTGTTTGTTGAGGATTCCAACCTTTCGATCGGCGCAATTAAAAGCTTTTACGAATGGCTTCATTCTAAAGACGGGATAATTGCAGATTACCGTTACTTATATTATTACGTTATTATTTTTTCTTTATCTCCGTCTGTCTGTTTGGTGATACAGCTATTGATGGTGAACGTTCATATGAAACACAACACAATAAAATAATTAAACTTCTTTAAAGAATAATTTCATTCAAAATGAATGATATCAGAGTGGTTGAATTGAAAACGGTGCTCACTTATCGTTAAGGTTATAGTTTGTATACAAATTAGATTCATAAACATAGGCATACATAATGAATAATAACACAAACGACTGCACTTATGTTTCTAGTGAAAAATCTCGCGACGCTCCCTGCCTTGTTATCTTAGCTACCCGTGAAAAGCTTACGTGCCTATTTAAGCAGCTTTCTGATTACTTGGGAATGCTTTTGCAGCGTAGGAGGGGCGTATTTTCTTGATGCACGTTACAGATGCTCTGGATTTAATGATAGTTAAGATAAGTTGTTGTATTCGTAGTTGTAGGCGCGACTGTACATAAATTAAATAGTGAATTTATTTAACAAACTAAAACTCTATACAAAATTCCTCTTTGTCGTTGCGTAAAAATATGCCCTTAAAATTAAAAAAGAATATTTATTATGATCCTATATAAGGTGTGATAATTCGACAAGTATAAAACTATATTCGTATAATTGAATACTTACAATCTAAAGTTATCTCAAAAATTCCAATTATTCGATAAGATTTACTTTTATATAGTAGTAAGTTTTATATACAATATGTTTTTATGAAGTAGTAGACCGACATTTTAACGTAATGATGGCTTTATTATTAATGACAAAAGCGATTATTCCTTGAGAAATCAGTCGTAAAAAAGGTACCCACATTTCTATGACGTCACCACTGTATACTATTCTTAAACTTCGCTGCAGCATACACACGTCTGTTAGTCGAACGGCGGGGCACGTGACTTCAAATCATCGGTACCGGGTTCGAATCCCGTATATGCATGACGCATAGATAGTCGGCTTTTCGGTAGCCAACTCATCTGCAACAACATGCTAAAGGATTACGGGAAGATAATTTACGCGTATCTTGTAATAGGCACGTGTAGTGTACTCTTCCTACAATTTTTTTCTGCTGATCGTACTTTTTGTTGTGTTTGAATATTTTTTTTTTTGCTAAAACCCCTGGAGATATTATTCTCTGGAAAAATTGCATAGAAAATTGTTTCTTTTCCTTTTATATATTTGAGTATTTTTATCTTTTAAAAATTATCTTTATAATTAAAAAACTCAAAATAAATGATATCGATCCTTAAGTAGTGTTTATTTAATTTTTTATTTATATTGCATAATTATATCTCTAAATTTATTATTAGATTATAAAAGCGGATAATGTTTTTACACAGTTTTTTATGTTATGTTGAATAATGAATGAAAAAAGTTGAACTATGAATGATGTTTATATTTGATAAATAGTTAATTTTGCCGTTCTTTACCCACTCACAAGCTTTATTTACAAGATATTTTTCTCGAAAAATATCTTGTAACAAAAGCTTTTACTTTATGGTATTTGTATTATTTTTTTTACTGCGCCTGCGTTAGTGGTTAACTACAGTGTCATGGAAATTAAAGTGGAGGCCTTTAAATTGAGAAAAAAGAACTGCTTTTGCCTTTAACAATGGCAGCAATCTACAAATAAAACGACCCTTTCCTTTAATTTAGACACCCAAGAAACAGTCTGTGAATGATGCAGAAAAGTTATTATTCCCCGAATGTTTTGATATGAAGTTCGTGAACAACAACTCGGAATTAAAATAAACAGTTTCAACTTTGAACTGCATCGTCATTTCTCAGGTGGCATAATAAACAAGTAACAAAAGACATCTTGATGGAGTTAATCATTTTCAGAAATGAACTATCTAGCGATCTAACCGCAGTTACACAGTTATAAAATTTACGTTAAAATTAAAAAATCTATCAAATATAGATAGACAAAATAGTAAAAGACCTGCGGTTCGGGAATAAAAAGCCGCTGACCTGAGAGGAACCGGTGAAAGAAAATCAACTAGCCACTTATAAATATATACGTGAAGGTATTTAGCAACTGATTTTTTTTTTTTAAATTTAAAGATGTGAAGCACGTTTGTAAGTAAATTGTACACCACTGATCTGTTAATTGTATAGCCAAAAAGGCCCTGCAATGTATACTACTACAAAGTATAAGTACTGAATTACAAATAACACACAATAACAGACAAGTATTTAGCGGTAAATCCTGTCATAATTTGATAAAAAAATATTGCTGAATGCGTGTTTTATAAATGCTTATTATTTGTTTCCTAAGTTTCGAAATGTCCGTATTTATCTTCTTTAGAACTTATGAAGTGGCCTTATCACCTATTCATTATAACACAATGATCTTTGGAAATGCAGTTTTTATGAAGAACGGTTATTTATTGTTTATTGTAATTGAATAATTCGCGATAGTGTTGACGTGTGCATCAATACGACTCCATTGTAGTGCAAGCAATTGGTTTGCCCACTGAGCACAATTATCGAAAATGCTCGAACAAGTCAAAAGATCAAATTTCGAATAAAGTACTCGTTCGTTTGTGCCGCTCTTTTTTTGCGAAGCGTCGTTGGGCTATTTATTTAACGCCATAACGCCTGATGCGAATCATTTCGCTCTATGGCGCGGATATTTTATCGCCGATGTGTGTGTTAGTTTCAATAGTTATTTCGTCAAATTTGTGTTTATTTTATAATTTATTGCGTTACACTGCTATCGAAAATTTTCTTCCGAATGGTTTCATTTTATAAAAGGTATGTTTTAAATAAAACCGGTTGTAATATGAAACCATTTTCACGTATTTTAAATTCTCTGCGTTTACTTGATTTATTTACGTTTAATTAATTACTCATTCTTCATTCTTTTCCGCAAAAATAGTTTTGCAACATTTTTTCACGTTTTGTTTAAAAAAGGATTTTCTTAAAAGTGACTTAGCGAGATTATTTACGTCCAATGAGGTACTAATTATTACAAATCTCAATTAAAGAAAACTTACATTTACAATATTAACTGTAGTAGGGCCAATCGACACTTATCACTATTGCACGAATGGGACCACAACCCCACAGAAGACCGGCGTGAAGTGGAAGTGTTATTCTTCTGCGTTTTGTATGGTGAGTGAGGTAGCCGGGGCCCACCTAATTAAAAGGTGGTATCGTATCTGTTACCTTACAGGTGTTGCAAATGTGCTTGGGCGGCGGTTATCAATTAAATAAATAAAAGTAGCAAGTATGACAAATACTTTCGCGTTTCGTCTGGTGAGTGAGGTGGCCGGAGACCAATTTTCAAAAGGTTGTCAAGGCATGTATAACCCTCGGGTGTGGCAGATGTCCATGGGCGGCGGTATTCGCTTAACATCAGGTGAACCGTCTGCTCGTTCGACAACTTTTCGCATAAAAAAATGAAATAAAATAAAAATCGTTTATTATTTCTTGCAAAAAAATATTCATGAACAAAAAATCTTGTAATCTACTATGCTGAATCTACTTACTATGATTTTTTTTAAATATTATTGTTTATGTTTATTTGCAAGAACCCCTGCTCGGGTGAAGGCCTCCTCCAAAGAAAATCTCTATTTTAGGTTATCACTTAACATCCAGTAAATCCGTCAGCTTGTTTGCCACTTTCTCACGTAAGAAATTCCTCTGTTGTCCTGAAGGCGGTATCGATTGACTTGGTTTTCTCTCCACCAAGGCTTTACTACATATCGTTGTTTCTTGTTAGCCGGCGAACGCAAGGGCTTTACGACCTCTTGCGATTTTATCCGAAACTCGCTTCACCACTGCACCTTATAGGAAACAAACAATTTACAGTATTTTGTGTTTCCACGAACACTAATATATCCACTCTGTTGGAGTTTGGCCAGCGCCTTCAATGTTGCAGAAATCAGTCTATAAAATGTTGTCGAGTTTAATTTTTAAATGTTTCCTCTGTACTATTTATATGACATGATGACATACGCTCATGCAATGTTATTAATAATTTAATATTACTACATAAATATGCTTGGTTTATTATAATACTGTGGGAAAAATACTTTTCAATAAAACAAAATTTGAATTGATTTCTATTTGTTGCAATTAATTTCTTTGGAAAAATAATACTTGAAGCCGGAACATCTGTTAATTTTTCTTTACCTTTAACTTACTTTATGCTTATGATGGTTCCAGTAGTCTCAAAATTAAAGCATTTTATTTGTAAAAGAGAAAAGAAAGCGCGGTAAAACAGGTAAAGATCTGTTAAGAGGTTTTGCGATGACGACCCATTTTATTACGACAGTCGTGGCTTTTATGTCGTACTTTGTAGGAAGTGTATATATTTTTTATGAATAGAGAATATTTTTGCTAGTCCATTGCAAACATTTACTCTTGGTTTAAATCGTTTGTAATGTCTCGCTGTCCAATAGATGTGCAAATTCAGTCCATATTGTTTTAGCTGACCAGAGCTTATACAAT